ATATTCAACGAATTTCAAATTATTTGAAATTTTAGAAATCCATTGAAATTTCGTTAAGATACGTCAATTTGAATTTGGGGTCAAAATGACCCCAGGGTACAGGCAACGTAAGTATTTCAATAAATTGTTTTCAATAAATATGTTTCCAATGTTTTTGAAGCAGATTTCATCTAATATTACAGAGCTTCGGTGGACGCACTTTGTCACGAAAGAATTAGTAAAATCCAACAACAAATAAAACGTTAGAACCTTTCAAACTGGCCTGACGTCAATTTTGACCCAAAGGTACAGACGAGAGTTTTAGCAGGAATTCCATTTCTGATTTAAGAAGATTTCAAATGTAATCGTGAGGAGAAATTCTAGCGATTCTGATAAATACCCAGCAATATTAAAAGGGAGTCTTGGGAAGAATTCCTTGGTTGTTCTGAGAAGAATACAATCTAGGAGATTTTTAGTTCCTTCTGAAATTTAATTCGAAGGTAGATTCCATGGTAAGAAGAAAATCTTGAAGAAAATTGAAAAAAAAAAATGTTTTGTATGGTTTGCTTGATTGTCCAGGATCATTCGCGGTAGCTTTGCGGAGCCAAATTTCAGTTTTTGTATAACAAAATTACTTAAAACTAAAATTAGTAGAGCGGGGAAAACAGGTCTTCTCACTATCACGAGACGAAACTACCTATCATTAGCTTTCTTGTCATTTTCCAATGATCAAGCACTCATGAGAATAATTCTTATGCAGTTTTGACATCACCATTTCTAACTGATTTAGATGAAGTCAAGCAAGCAACCGTATGTAATCGGTAAAATGAGTACATTATTAAGATTTCCTCGGTACAAGTAACCTAAATAGCAATAAATGAGCATGTAATTACTACGATCTTAACACTGTCCCGTTCTGTCATGACAAAAAATTCGATGAGATTTTGAAGAAAATCTCTATCACCGATGATAGTGCCTGAAGTATCTCTGTAGTTATCGCATGAGATCTTTCATTGAAAATGACATTTGCCATCCCTGGCAAGAACACAAGGTTTGGAGGGCAGACGAGAACATTAATGGAACAAAGACAGTCTATGGTGGAACACCTACGAAGGGGTGACATTTGAACTTGGAGAAATACGAGAAGACAAGATACTACTTAATCCTAAAATGGATTCATTTAAGAAACATATAAATAAAATTCATGTAGTCGAGATCCCAGCTCGCCCAGACATCTCTAACGGGTACCACGGGTTGTTTTCTTCGGGCCCTGAGCGATGTGGATAACCCAGACGGTGTAAGGTACAAAATTGAATAGATTATTTAAGCATAATGCCAAGGAATATTGAACAGAAATTGTAACAAAAATTACAGGTGAATTACAAGGCGAGTTTTAAAAGAATTCTGAAGAGAATTTCAAGGGAGTTCTAACTATAATATCAGGAAAATTAATAGAAGAATTCGATGGAAGTTCTGAGAATACACACTTAGCAAAAATCATGTAAATTTAGGTACTTGGAGACTGACATATACGAGTGTCAATTTTGACATTAAATTGAGTCATAGCAAAAGCGAAAATTACCTCAATCAAACGTACTTTTCGTCAAGAAACGATCTTTTCAGTCTTGAAGCACTTAATTTTACAGGACATGTTTGTTTACGTCTCATCATTTATGTCAAAGATGGATTCCGTCACGTGTAAAATTAGTTGTTTCTAAGTGTGTAGTTCCAAAAGAATTCTAAGGTATAATCCAAAGAAATTCTGAGGAATCCAAGTGAATTCTTAGGAGAGCTTTAAATGAATTACATGGAGTATTTAAAAGCAATTCCTATGAGAATTTCAAGAAAACTCAAACCATGAAAATTCTAAAGTATATTTTAAGGAATTTCTGTGTATAATTCAAAAGTTATTTTACGATTATTTCCATTGTAATGAGGAGGATTCCATAAGAATCTGAAGAATTCTGTAGTAATGAACTAGCCTCATGCTAAAAATAAGTTTAATAAAGTATTAAAAAAAAAATCTGAGCAGAATTTCAAGGTGATTCCTATAGAATTTTCAGAAATTCGATGCGAATTGCAGATTGAACTTCAAGAATTCATGATAAGCCAGACATAGAAACATTTTCAAGCTTCCAGACACAGAAAAAAAAATCAGACTTGAAAAAAAATTTTCTTAATTTTACTTAAGAAAATTTAACATCTTATATTCTTAATTTAACTTAAGAAAATGTAACATCTTAAAATAAAATATCCCGAAGATCGATGTTTAACAGAAACATACGACATGCTAGTTTTTTGACATTGCTATCTTAAAATAATTAAAATGCATGAGACTTCTTAGCATTTTAGGAATCAGGCACTTTGATATTTTTACCCTTCTTACAAAGAAGGGTATAGATATAGATATCACTTGAAAAACCGACTATCGATCCGAGGCCCGGAGGGCCGATGGTCATATACCATTCGACTCAGCTCGACGAGATCGGAACATGTCTGTGTGTGTGTGTGTATGTGTATGTGTGTATGTGTGTATGTGTGTATGTGTGTATGTGTGTGTGTATGTAACGAAATGAATGCGCTCACGTTTCTCAGCAACCGCTCAACCGATTTGGACAAACTCGGCGCCAAATGATAGGTCTTGGGGTCCCATTGAACGCTATTGAACGGTTCTGGAATCGGTGAACAGGTTCCGGAGATATGGCCGGAATAAGATCCGGTGAATATGGAGCTTCACGCTGGATTTAACGGAAAACGTATCAAAACCATCATATACCATTCGACTCAGCTCGACGAGATCGGAACATGTCTGTGTGTGTGTGTGTGTGTGTGTGTGTGTACGTGTGTATGTGTGTATGTGTGTATGTGTGTATGTGTGTATGTGTGTGTGTATGTAACGAAATGAATGCGCTTACGTTTCTCAGCAACCGCTCAACCGATTTGGACAAACTCGGCGCCAAATGATAGGTCTTGGGGTCCCATTGAACGCTATTGAACGGTTTTGGAATCGGTGAACCGGTTCCGGAGATATGGCCGGAATAATATCCGGTGAATATGGGCCTTCACGCTGGATTTAACGGAAAACGTATCAAAACCATCAAATTACTACAGAATTCAAAAATAAGATCAATGCAAGTCGTGTTAAGTGTTCCAGACCACATTGGACACACTTGGACATGTTTCGGGTACCCCGGGGAAGTTGCTTGAATATGAATTGAATTAAAACCCATTAAATCACATTAAAATACGATGATAAGGTGATTGGTAGCCTCACCAAATAGACTACACCCGGATATATTCCGGGTACCCCCAGGCAGTGGCGTAGCGTCACTGGATGACACGGGGGTGGGGGGCTTGGTCACTGATAATGACAATAAAATAAATAAACTTGAATAAGTAAGAAGGGTCTGATCCCACCATAGGTGGATAAATTCGGGTTTATATTTAAATTTAGAACTGATACAAATTTTTGAAAATCTAGAATTTTTTCAAGATTCAGAGACTACAAAAAAATATTTTTCGAAGCAGATTTCTCTTTCTTAGAAATATGTATGATCACTTCATTTGGTATGTTGGCCCATCCATTTTGAAACCTGGATCGCCCTTGTTCATACTTGCCATTTTCAAGAAGCTGCTTAAAATATGGTTTTAAATTCTTCACATGTGCTGTCCAGAAAGCATTCTACATAATGAAGCTAAATTTTGAAAAAGATAAAACATCGACTTAGAGAGGTAAAACAGCATGCACATATTAATCAAAACACAGTGGGTAAAGGAAGTATCGAGTTATAAAAATATCGAGTTACTGAGAGAGCTTTGCTTGCAATTGATGGACTTTTGAATTTCATTGAGTTAGATAGAGTTGACTGAATTCCCAAAATTAATTGAATTAAATTTGAAATAAAATCGTCAAGTTTCATTACTTCACAATTGCAATCAGGAAACTCTCATTAACTTTTTTTCATGAATTCTGTCATCAAAATATCGTTACATCACATTTTGCTGCATACCTACGTTGCCAGATCTAAGCGCACAAGTACACCCGGCAGAAAAACTACGGGTCCATCAGATTAGACTAATGTTAATGATGATAGTTTTTTTTTTATTATTCTCAACCGACTGGTGGCCTTTCATTGCTGTTGTTATTGTGTGTTGTCATCAACAAATGACGCTTTTTTATTTTCGACAGCGAGAAAACCCGTAGCAAATTCCCTAGCAGGGGTTCTCTGTGCCACTGGCACTGCAACTAGGACCAGGGCCCCGGTTCAAAAACCGCTGAATCTGCTGGCTTGTAGTGACTGTTTATACGATTTTGCGTACCCAGCGAAGAACCATTAGATAAATATGAAAATTTAAATCCCAACCTAGAGCGTCCCTTGGCGGGACCACCCGCTGTTCTATTTATTCAATTACCGAGCTCGCCCTTACACCGATCGTTATCTATCCTGCAGCCATGCTACTCTGTGTCATTGAGCCACAACCAGTGGCCAATCAAAACAAACCCAATTAATCTAGCTTAATCCGCTTAGCGTCATGTGGAAATCGATGATTCCCAGTCGAGAATTAATGCCGAGAGAATGGTGACAAATTACCACCAGCTCTTTCCTGACTTGCCCAAAACCGATTGCCACCACCACATCTGGGATCAGTGATGGTTTCCTGAGCCGCATTATCGATCCATACATTGCCATTAATGTGTCATCAGCGTAAGTAATAGCAGACGCCCCCTTTCAACTCGTCGATCGGCATTTCTTCAAATTTTCCGCGGAGAACGAAGGCCAACTTGAATATGCTTTTATTAAAAATTCCATAATTTTATGCGATCAACCAACGAAAACGGTGACCGACGACTGTCTTGCAACAGATGGTTGCACACAGGGCAAGAATTTATTCCTCATTCGGTGCGCAAATTAATATTAATAGCACATTGGCTCTCTGTGCGCATGCGGTAATTGGCGGGTTACGTTAAGGAGGCAAATATTTGAAGTACTTGCAGACACTCGACACGCAATCGTACTTACCTTGGTTTCTCGTTGACTGCTTACGATTACAGTATCCTTCTTTTCTTCCTGGCTTTACACATGTGGTCAAAGCAATCCGAGTTCTTTGCGGTCACTGTCGACTGTTCCGTTGAATTCCGTTTCGAAAATTTGCACTACTATTCGCACTTAATCCATGGTGCGATCTTCGCAACTGCACAATTGATTCATTAATTATAATTTTTTTTTGCACAACTTCACAGCTCACGGTTCCTTCATCCACCGTCCTTTTCTTCTAATATTGCAGCTTTCTTTTCCACTGATGTCACACCGGAGAAATTTTGATAATCCAAATGGTAGTTTATGTGCACTAGTTTTCTGTTTTGCTTAAATTTTGCCTACACCTCTAATCCGAAATCGATCAGCGAAACCGGTCAATTTGGGCTAGGTAACCTAGAACTAAAAAAAAAACTCGTACGACTCCGGAAACACTTCTCACGTGTCCGCACTGCCAGACGGTTCGCACTCGTATGAAAGGTGAGCCGGTTGGTTGACAGTTCAGGTTCTAACCGGCGCGGAGTGATCGCAAAAACCGGTATCGATGTATGAGCGACTTTGTGCCTGCTCGCTCAACTGTATTGGTGCACCTCTCTTTCGCTCTTTCCACTCCGCTGGACTTATGCGAAGGATACCTTTTCGAAAATGTTTAATAAATGAACGAAGGGTTCTCTTATGCTTTGGCACCAGCGCGCAGCACCTTCCGCCTGTTAGTTCCTTCCACATATTTCGATTCTCTCATGCTGTTGTTGTCGATCGCTCTCTTGCAATGGCTCACCCATACCAGCTCCACGGTAAGACAACCTATAGAGAGATTATGTTTAGGTAACGAGAAGGTTTTTTGAAACTTTCGTTTTCCTCCCTTTTCCACGCGGCATGGCAGGTATGAACGAATGACGACGAACCATTTAGGCGCGTTTTCTCTCATCCAGTCAGCCAGAACACGATGACTTCACATAGGTAGTACCTACCTACTTCAGCTCCTTGAGCTCGCGGCTGTTGCTATTCCACGCAGACGAAAGGTGACCACCACCACCGACCACCGGGAGATGAACGGCACGATGAGAAATCGGGCGAGAGGTGAAGCCGGTGCGCAACCACGTGTTTCGGTCCTTTGGGGTCTTGCTGAACGCGATGCGCGAAGATATGGGTGGTTGGTGGTGTGGTGGATGGGAATGTATCTTATTGCTATAGCAAGAACTTTAATTGAACAACCTGAGCGCAAGGTTCGTTTTTGGCAACGTTAAAATGGATCTGGAAAATGTGTGTGTGTGTAAATCCATTCATATGTTTGCTGGTCTACCTAAGTAGCTTATCCGGAGGACTTTTTTGTCAGGTTTGAAAGGGGAGGCATAGGACGGTTTAATATTGTAACGGTAGACATTTTCGTTAAATTATATATTTGTTACTTTTCCTTATATATCTTTAAATATTTATTCTTAAATTAATCGTTACTCAGATAGAGAAAACCAAATGGGATAGTTCGGAAATTTGGTACCAGTACACGGAGAAAAAAGTATAGTTCAATTAATCATATTTCAGCTACAATCAACTATATTTTAGCATTGATTTTTGGATAACCCATGTGCATGATTGTTACAATCATAATTCAAGTTGAAATACCTAAATAGTAGGCTTGAATCAACTTAGGTAAATATGGTTGAAACAACAATAAAATGGTTCTACTAAAATAGTTGATGGTTGATATTTTGACAGTTCGTTTACAGTGCCAGTAAATTCAACCATGATTATTGTTATACCAACTGAATCAAAATAGTTGATTCGATCATGCCTTGGGATCAGTTCAATTTATTTTTTTAATTAGGTTTTCCGTTTCGAAACCGTTTAAATAGAAAACAAAAAACATGTACAAGAACAATTGCACTTTTGTTATATTAGATCAACATTATATAATTATCCTGGAAGATAACGAGCCTTTGGGATTTTCCTTATTAGAGAGTTGTATTGAGTTTTCCCCTTTAGTTTTCTTAAATCTTTGGTTTTTATTAGTTAGGTAGGTTCCGATTCAACACATTGTAGTTTCATTTTTATACCTGTGATCTTGACTTTTTACCTAGGGATGAGTACTTAAGGGGTTTAGATCTTGATAAGCTCTTTAGTGGGAATGACACTGATGAAGACTGCACATTGTAGTCGAAATACGTGGATCCCAAAATTAATTAAGTGGAATTAAATGGAAGATAACCTTTTTTGCTGTTTTATTGATTGTAATCGGTTTTGAATCTAACTTCCACATATTATAAACAACGCTAGCTTGCTTCAATTCGTAAGATTACAATTGTATGGAATTATGTGCCTAGCATAATAATATTAACTCGTCGTTATTTTTTATAATTATTGATTCGATTTCGTAAATATTTCTTAGAAGTTTATGTTTAATGCAAAAAATTGTACCACGTTCATAGCTTGAGCCATGTTTAGTAAATTGCGAAATAAGTTGCATCCTATCTTCAACATTACATTCTTCGTATTTCATCAGGATATTTTTGAGCTAAGTATATGTTCTCTCTTGATCTCGTGTAAAGGTGTTACGAATGCGTTGCTAAATAAATCATTAGCGAATTTTAAACTAGCCATAGTAATTAAAGAAGAGCAAATATTACGTTTGTTATAATTTACTCTAGTATATTGTTTAGCTTGTTTGTGCTTAGCTTCACATCGCATTCCCCATTGTCGACGTAAATTACCAGATTTGGTTATTGCTGTGGCGTAGTGTACCAAATTATGGTGTTTGGGTTTAAAACAGTCCTCAAATAAAACGACGTACTGTGTATGGTGAAACTCAACTACTTCCTTAAGTTCTTGAGTCAATTCAATAGGAAAATCTTGCAGCATAACTAAATCAAAAATTTTTAGCAGGTTGCAAAAATGTATCCATACTGGATCGCCTATCGGAATGAGTTTACCAATCAATAACGGTAAAAAACGCATAAGTAATGTTTCAACTAGTTTAAGCAGCGTTCGTTCATTGCCAAAATGTTTCCTATTTCCAGACATAACGTAACCAGTCGTTAGAATATTAACAAGTCGCGACAGAATATAAGGCGGGAAACAAGGTATATAATAATAAATTCCACAAATTTAAGTGCTACTGGCATGAGGAGAAACTGTGTCGCTTGTAGTAAAATTGTCAAAAAATATATTGATTGGAACGATCAACTTACTTTCTAGTCCTTGTATTTTCTTCTGCCAAATGGTGCCATCCACTAAAGACCTTATTACTCCATCATCAGACGATTTTAGACATTCAATTAATAGATCGATTACATTTTCCGATTCTAACTATCTACGTAGTTGGAACTTTATAGGCATTAAAACACCCTTTACATCATCTTCGACCATTTCTAAGTTTTGATGTATTACAGCTGGTTTTAATTCGTTACTTATACTAAAATACACCGGTTCTTCGTACAAGCCTTTTTCTTTGAGGTCTCATATAAATTTATACTCGGTCTGTGAATTGTTGTTCACTGAAAATACTGATTTTAATTGATGAATCTACGCGAAACTGCACCAGTGCATGCGACACCAAGGTTTAAAAACCAAAACCACAAAAGTGATGATGTTCTAAAAAATGTTCCATGCGATTTGACAGCTAGCAAAACGTCATTATCATTTTCACATCATTTCCATCTGCTGGCCGACCATAACTCCTACAATTTAATTAATGGAATTCAATACATTTGTTCGTACATCATCTTGAAACTGAAATACCAACTTCCGTGGTACCGTATCCTTATTTAACCACTTTAAGTTAAAACCAATGCTTAAACGACTAATTTCTGATGATATTCTCTCTAGGTTAATTAAATGTTGTGCTTCAATGTTTTTAACTTGGATAAACTGATCGTCTTCAACGTTTGCTATACTTTCTCTATGTACTTATATACTACCGTTTTTATTTGATGATCTGTGATATGGTACGGATGGTAACACATGATGTTCCAAATCAAACCTATCTTCGTTACAAAGGTTATCTGTAGCATGGTTGTTTCGAATGTGTTTCTTGAAATATAAGAGCATCTTACACTAAATCGTCTTCCGCAATTTGAAACAGTGCAGCTATAGACATCGATGGGCTCATGGACTCTGCGGAGGTGAGTTCCGAAAAGCGATGGGCATGCAGTCTTCCATCGGCTACCGGAAATGAAGCACACAATCATTGTGCCGACAGCTGGTTACGGAGAGTTGCAGCTAGAGTTAAGATCCATGGTTTGTTTCCGCCTTCTGGCGGCTCGAAGTAAAAGTTAAAAAGACTTCACGCAAATGTGTGCAAGATTTGAGGACGGGTGTGAATCTTGCCTCTTGGGACCTCCCTTAGCTCAGTCGGTAAAGGCGCAGCTACAAAGCAAGACCATGCTGGAGGTGGCTGGGTTCAATTCCCTGTCCGGTCTAGGAATTTTTCGGGTTGGAAAATTTCTCGACTTCCCTGGGCATAGAAGTATGATTGGACTTGCCACACAATTATACCAATGCAAAAATGGTACAGGCATCGAAAGCTCTCAATTAATAACTGTGGAAGTGCATCTAGAACACTAAGTTGAGAGCACGCAATAAGCTAGTATGCGATATGCAATAAGCTTGAAATGCGAAGAAGAAGAAGAATAAGAAGAAGTGAACGGCGCCGGTGATGTAGTGGTAAGCGTGATTACCTCTCACCCCAGCAGGCCTGGGTTCAATCCCAGTCGGCGCCGCCAGGATGTTCTGAGGCATTACATCTCTGATCACGCCTTCCTTCGGATGGGAAGTTAAGCCGTTGGTCCCCGGTTCATGAGTTGATGTGTCGATAGGTAGGGTCCAGGATACGCGGAAGTCTTGAAGAAAATGAGAACGGACGAGCGCCTTGTGGAGATGGGCAGTAACGTGAGGAGGATCAGGCGCACTCGTACAGGCGAGATGCTCCTGGTGCTCAAACGTGGTGCTAAGGACCAGGGACCAACCTACCAGAAACTGGCAAAGGAGGTTGTTGGTTCTGGGGTGCAGGTGAAGTCGCTAGGCTCGACTATCACCATCCAGGTCAAGGACCTGGACGAAGTGACGGAGGCGACCGAGATAGTCACGGCGC